GCAGTAGCAAGCTGATCAGGCGATGCAGCATTGGTCAAAATAACTTGAAAAATTACAAGCTCAGGAGATGGTGATGCTCAACACACATCGCTGAATCTCTAAGTGCTTAAAGCCCTGTTAAAGTGTTTCTGTCGGAAGAGTCACCACTGAGCCAGTAATCTCATCAGGAGATGAAAAGAACGCTAGGACCGACAAAGGGCTGGATCAACAGGCGATGCAGCATTTAATCAAAACAGCAGTAAAATGAAGGAAAAAAAAAGAAAATGAATATGATTATCGGCTATCATCAATGAATCAGTGGCTCAAGCTCATGTTTCTCAAGTATTAACTGATTCGGAAATTAACTTCAGTTCGCGAATCTTCAAGATAATTTTTGAATTATCTGTCTCACCTATATTCATATCGAGAGCAGCTTCCCCACCACGTCGTTGTTTCATCTCATTTACTGCTACTGTCGTCTTATGTCCAGATTGAGAGCAGCTTCTGATGTTCAGAAGTTTTACGAAAAACTGTCAGAAGTTTCATGAATTTTTTACAAATTAGTTTTAGTTTAACGAATCAGTTTTACGGAAGTTCATGAATTACGAATCAGAAGGGTTTCACCAATTACGAAACAGTGCGAATAAACGATGATGTTTTGAGAGCGCGTAATAAACAAACCAAACTTTTATCGCAGAGTGGTTTGAGGGGCTGTGAGGCGGCCAGTAGCACCAACGATCTGATGCTGCGGCTACTGCTCCTCCTGCTGCTACTGCTTTTGGTCTTCATGAAAAAGTACCGCTCGTTCAATATTTGCAATATTTCATCGTCTGTATGTGTACCACTCAGTGATCTCAAGGTTGCGCATCATTCAAGTATCTTCAAATTTTCACCCGGGAAAAATCGGGAGGGAGGGTTTGGTGCTCAAACTTAATAGAAAGTTACAATAGGAAAGAATGGGAAAAAGAAAAAAAAAAATGGAAAAGGATGGTGGGAAATGAAAATTAGAAAATTTGTGAGATTGTTATAATGGTAAGAAGTGTTTCAATCCATTAAGTCATATACATTTTAAATCCAACTTCCACGTACGCCTACCATCTTACGTAAGACTGCATTAAATTTCTGACGACAAATTTCCCAGCTCTGGAACCAGAACAAATTCCGACGATTTTTGCTTATATCAAATTGCAAAACAACGAACATTTCAATAGCAAACGTCTCTTGAATAGTGCTGCGCAAGAAGCATAACCGCACCAGCTATTCTGGTGCGCACTGCTATTTAGTGTCCAGTAACTTTGCAGGACTTGCAACAATTCAGTGAAGAAAAATGTCCTCAAGAAACTGAGAGGAAGTCAAAAAAAAATGTGAAATTAGGAGTCTTACAAAAAATTATTAGAAATTTTACGGATTTTTTACAAACCAATTTTACGGATCAGTTTTAGCTTAATGAATCTGTTTTACGAAACCTTACGAAATATGAGTCGGAAGCTTGGCGAATTGTGAGTTGCAGAAATTTTATGAAAAATGGTCTAAAAAATTGCACTAGAGACTGCTCAAGTTTTATAAGTATTTTACAAATTTTCAAATACTTAAATAACAAAAAACGAAACGATCTTAGGCTCATCAGCGGCAAATGACCCTTAAGGTGATGTAGCCAAAGGTCGAAGGTTATTGGTAAAAACAATTGGAAAAGTTGTCAGCTTCATAACTGGAGAGCTAGAGAGTGAACAACAGTTAGTCCAGGATTCCAAATATAATCAATTTCTAATTTAACCTGCCCAACTCTAAGTAATAAATTTCTGAATAAAATTTTGTTCAATTAAAAAAGTAAGTTTTAATGTATTTTTGAATTTTTTTCAGCCAAACTGTACTTGCATTCTGTTAAGCAGTCCGATAAATGTGACCAATGAAACAAATTTGTACTTCGACTGGATGAAAATTCCACTGGAATTTTTCAAGCTTCAGCAACTTCCCGATCCACTGATTGCTCGTCTACAGAAAAGAATCCCAAAAACTTATGAAATTGATGAATTTCTGGATCTTTCACCTGTCCTCTACGGCAATATTATCATTGACGAGTATTTCTGGTTCCTTACAGCGCAAGTCTCCGATGTTGCAAACGTTCTGGATGCCATCGCACGAACCGGTGTATGTTTTTATCAAAAATCAGAAGTAAATCCGAACAGTACAGGAGCGTTTATTCGGGAATTTGCCAAAACGCAACTATGAAAAATTTGGTTTCTTACCCAAAGACAGGGTAGCTTTTCCCAAAATTTGCTACAGTAAAAGTGAAAAGTTCAGACAAGTTTGTCCGTTAGTGCTGAAGAGACAGAAAAGGATAAGCGAAAAATCCCGTCAAAATCTCGAAATTTAAGCAAAACCTACTTGAAAAAAAATGTATACAACTTAATGGACTGAAATGTCTTAATCTCAGCTTATACTATTTATAATATTGCCACTCCTTAATCACTTCTTACTTTTTACTTTACTTTCTCAAGTACTATTTTTTAGCCTGCCTTGTACAGTTAACTATACTCATTTATTTATATCCATATTTGTTTCTAGGCTATTTCTTAACTATTATTTATTGGCTTTCCTTGGACAATTCGCTATGTATATATATATATGTATACATATATATGTATACATGTATATATATACGTATATACACATATATATATATACACATATATATGTATATATATATATATATATAATTCAAACACAAGAAGGTAAAAAGGGCCATTCGAGTAAAAGATAGTAAGTAATGCAAGAAGCTAACTGCAAAATACCCGATAATTAAGAAAATGCTGAGGTAAAACAGCGGAACAGGCACCAGCAATATTTCTTTTAATAAATCCAAAATTTCTGAATACACTTGCCTTATTCTCGACCTCAAAACCAAAACCCATCCCCCTAATTCACGCTTTGCGCAAAAATGCTCTAAAATCACTCACGTGAGGGTGCCTTTGTTGATTTCCAGCTGCTAGCCAATATCGATCAAAGTGAATCGATCGGCGATTGGTGCGGTTCGGATGGCGATTGTCGAATTTTCACCGAATCATCATCGCTCTATAATTCCACAACAGGAACATACTCGACCACAGTGCTTTTTGTGGCGGTCGTCAGCGAGCATGAATTTTCGATTATTGCAATAAGCATTGTTGAAGGACAATTTATCGTGCCAAAATTACTCTCGGCAGTGTGCGCTCGCAAATGTCAAGTGAGAAATCCCGTTATCAAGGAACAGTGCCGTCGGAATTGTAATGACAAGTATGTTTTGATGCCAAAACAACCAAAATTGCTGGGGGTAATCGGTGTAGGGAAAGTGATATCTATTAGTGATAATCCTCGTGAACAGCTTGTAAACAAGAAAGAGCTAACAGTTCCGATAGTAGCTGATCAGCAACCAAATAATTCCCCATTTCCCCCGAATGCTGCTACTCCTCTCTTCACCTAGCAATGATTAAACCGACTGACGAAAGCTTGCGAAGTCTCGTGCCCCGTTAATGTGAAGAGTGAATTTT